CTGAAATATTTTATTGATCCTGATTAATTAATTAGGTAGTTCTTGCAAGGAAGCTGAAAAATCCATAACCCATAATTTTGACATTGTTCTTATATTAGTATTTCTGATTCGTTTCTAAGAAGTTTTATAGAGAAGTTTGACTTTAAACTAACTAAAATTCGAAGAGAAATAAATTTCTATTAGTGTAGATCAATGAAAATACCCATAAATCAGCTTAATTTGTACAGTAATGTTGTAAAATATACATATACATCATGAAGAGGTTGATTTGATGCTGAAAATAAGGTGTCTAAAAATTCACCTACCATCCAACTTTGCTGTGAGAAGGGCATTTGTTTTCTCAATAGTAAAACAAAACATGTATTTAAGTTTGATGAATTGTTTGTTAGAGAGAATTTCGTAAATAAAAAAGTAATTCAAGTTAATCACATTTAAAACCCATTTAATAATCGTTTATTAAATCAAAAGTCGTATTTATAACAAGGTTCACCCCTTATTAAACAGTTGGTTAGAATATAACCTCTTGGGCACTTTTGCCATAAAACAGCATTGCTTCTCCTTACCGACATGTGTGTCCCAAAGATAAGAAATGTTATGTTACATTTTGGTCGATAAATGGCCAATACTTCGTTCCATTAGCCCCAAAATAAATCAATGTTATCCTCGACCTAATTTTGTCTCAAAGCGACACGATCCTAAATGTATCGGAGGCATTAGGATTATTAGATCTGGGGTTGTGTGGCACACTAATGGTTTTGAGGTTATATAACATATAATGCCTGTTTGATTGTGATCGGAGATATAATTGTGGAGTACGGATTAAGTTTGTTGATTTCTTACGTAACTTAGCCATAGCTTTTAGGAAAATGTGTTAAACACTATATTTTGTTGAGTAAAAGCAGTTATATTAAACAATTAAACATAGGCTACCCCCAAATCGATCTATCATCCTACGAATAAGTTTTTTTTTCTCTAAACAACAATTTATTTACAACCTGTTCATTTAAAACTTATAAAACTAATATTTTTGATCAAAATGTGGCTTGAGTAAATTGTAGGCTACTTCCGTCTGTTAATAATTACGATGAAAAAATCTGTTCTGACCGATCTAGTTAAACACGTTTTGGCAGATAAGACATAGATTCTCTTTAGTCTGAATGCCACTTGATTGCTTATAAGTTCGTACAATTTTCCAATTTTACTTGATTTATTTTCATGAGTTTTGTAAATTCTTACCTAATGATGTTAAGCTATTTAGTAGTGTTTTGATGGAGCCTTTGATTTCAATGACATCATAGTGCCTCTTGTATTAGTATTTTTAGTGGATTTGAAACTGTTGGACAATTTAACAACAGGTAAATAGTTTGTTTTTTTTTCAGTGACCTAACCTAATTTAATCGCCAAGCAACTAGCAAATAAAAATAAAGTGAAAACTATCTTCCGACGTTAATTTCCCTGCGTTGGCAAGCTAAGGTATTTTAGAGTGGTCAGAGGCAATATAAATTAATTTTAACTCGTCTTGTGGTAACAACACAATATAGAAAAAGTCTCAACGCAAAAAATAACACTATAGATAGAAACACACTGAGGATGCTAAAAAAAATTGAAAATGTTGTCCCAAGTATTATATATTGCCCGAGTCTTAATCAGACGTATTTAGTCATACTCGGACATTAGCATCACCGGTTCAAATTTGACCTTAGTCTTGCACGAAACGGCCTCCAGTTGGGTTAAGGTCATCAATTTCCGGCCCAGAATCGATTTCCGTCGCTAATTTACCATGGAAATCACAGTCTCGTGTATTCGCGTATGAACGCTTCACTTGCGGAAATGACGTAATGTAATTGTTGACTCGAGTGTGATTGGTGTTTTATGTTTCAGTGCTATTTTTGCACTGATTGTGACTCGCTAATAGTTTATTCATGTTTTCACTTTCCCGTATTTGTTTTACCTTCTTGCACTTGTTTTTAGTTACTTTGTCGTGACCCAGAGTTTCAACGTAGTAACACAAAGTGTTGAGCTCATGATAGCTAGTTGAGTTGGTATAATTGTGGATATTTATAGGCATGCACTGTGGATGCGATACTCCCTGGTGTGGATAAACGTCCGCACGAGTGAGTACAGTACTACGACTACCCGCAGTGCTATCCTGATAATTAGACCAATTTGTATATACCAAAGGCAAAAATGTGGTTCGGATTCCACTATAAACTGTAGTTCCCTTAGTTGTCATTAGCTGTATGGGCTCGTCATCGGATGGCTGTGCCTAAGGAATTTGTCGGCCTTAGTCACTAACAAGACTACAAGATCGGGCCACTAATCCTACACTCATCTCCATTCATAATTGGCTTAAAATACCTACTTTGTATGGTCACCATTTCATTGAGAAGTATTAAAAGTATTAAAGTATTAAGCATACTAACTGAGCTAGAGATAAATTACTGGTGGTAGCACTGAATGGGATATCTGCGAGATGTTGGCCGCCCTTTTACTAAGGGAAAAAATACATCGTAATTAGTACAATTGAAATAGGGGATTGCGCATACATAAACGAGCCAATAAACTGATTTCCCAAGTTTGTTGTACCGACATAAACAATTGTACAGCTTCATAATATCTCGCATAGTCGCAGTGCCGGTGCTACCTCCAGGTTTTTCTAGCTCAGTGGGTATACATAGAAATAAATTGGCTATACAGATCATAGTTCAAAAATATACTCCTAAATCAGCACTGCTATTTCTTAATGTTTTTAAAACAACAGCTTGTTAATAGACCGTTGTTGTAAACATAACCATTTACTGTAGAATTATTCACAGCTTACGTGGACATTCTATCCCCGTGTTAGTATTAACTATTTTTAGAATAAAAATCGACGTGGTTTATTGAGTTGGGATATTGACAGGGTGATAATATAATTTGTTTTAATTCAATACACTAACATTTTAGCCAAGAAAACTTTCTAACGAATTATTGTAAGCTTTATCTTATTTTACGTCTCATCAACTATCTCAGTTGCTCAACTATAAAAAGAGGATAATGTGTAGATATACCCCATAGAAAATCAATTATGGCCCCACCTTTATTGAACACCCAGTATAATATGGTTGTTTTCATATCACTCAATTCATCATTTGGTCATTTGGTTAGAAATATTTATCCATCTACTGTAAGATTTTACATAGCCTATATTTTTTAGCTAAATTCCATATACCGGTAACGTACGGAGGTCACACAAGGTTCATCATTATTCTCGAACTGGCTACGACTTTATCATTAGTACGGAATATTTTGTTTCTCATTTGATGGTAAATTTCAATAAATTTGAATGGAATTGAAAATACGAACTGCTTTTGCTCGTTGCCTCGGGGTATTCGGATGCTCTGCGTGTTACTTTGGCGAAGGCCGAGGAACTGTTGCCAAATAAGGAAGTGATCTGCTTCTGACCTAGTCAAGGATTAAGGATTCGGACTTCATTCGGGATCGCAGGGTTATCACGCTCTAATCCCTAGTTTAGCCGTGCTATCATTTTGATTTCTAAAAATAGGCCTATATTCACTTCTACTCCCTAATGGCAAAAAAATAAGTAATGTATAGTATTTGCTCTATCCATCCAATATAAAACACTACTAACATAATAACATCAGCATTTTAACTATTATTTTCTACAAACTTAGTACTGTATAGTATTTGGATAATTTAATAAGAAGCTAAAAATACCATCAACGACGCAGTTCAACTTTTTATGGGGCCAGAAAATAGTCTTCCACAGTCAAAAGTCAAGGGGTTTGGGGAGATGACCATATTTTTGAACTTTAAAATATACTTTTCTTACAGTCAGCTGACAAAGTGCTTGTTCTGATTATAGTACAGAAAGCCTTACTTTGGCGCACAGTTTTTACTTTGGCGCACACCAGTATTCCAACCAAACAACACAATACAGCGTGCTTTTATTATGCACGTAATCCGTGTACGCTTAAAAATAAGTTGGCAACAATTAAAGATAATACGACTACGATCAGCTGGTGCAGCGTTTCTCATTTCGTTCAATGTTTGGATTTAACCTAACCTAAAAACGTGTTGTACAGTGTTTGAAAGACTAATTATTTATACTAGAGGTCGTCCAGTGGTCGAAACTCGACCAAAAATATGCAATCAACCATAAATATGGTTGGATATTGACCAAAATATGGTTTTACTCACACCACACTGTGAGTAAAACATGTGATTGGAGTTTCTACCATTTGTTTTTATTTTCTGTTTATATTTCGTTGTTATTTCGTCACCAGCATGGCTACCCATAAGATCCATGTGATTTTTTTCAAAATTTTAAATTCATTTTCTGAACTTATTTTTGAGCCTATTTTAATTTATAAAGGCATTCTGCACGTCTACAGGAAAATATCTTTCGAACAGTACGCGTAGATTTTCCCCGCGATGCACACGAGCTGAGAAAAAAGGTTTGAAAGAAACATGCTTGTCTATTCATATATAGATGATTTTTATAGTAACTGTAGGAAAAATATAATGTGTAACACGATTGCAAAATGTCTTTGCCCACTAGTTACACAAATAACTATTCCGACGCTTCGAATGCGTTGTGAAAACTTATCTTCAACAGTTCAAATGTTCCCAATTATGAATACTTCTTATGTAACAATTTTCATGTGCCACTTTTTGTAACATAACATTTTTTCAATTCGATGAAATGATTACACTATTGAGAACATGATATTGTACAAAGAAACTCACCATTGATAAGTAATAGACATATATTTTCCCGCTAGAGAGGTTTTGACTAAATATATTTTTATACAATATTAAACTTACGCTATATACATTTCAATCCCACTTCTATATCATAAACAGTGTGTTTTAGTTTATGTACTTTTTTGTCCTAAATCAGGTATCACAGATTTCGTAATTGTGCTCGTATGATGATTTAATTGTGTGTGATTGAAAACAAATTGTAAATTTAACGGTTTTTTATACGGTTGTTTCAGATGGGTCTTTGCTAGCATTATGGAGGCTGACATCAAGAAAACATTCGAATCTTACGATGAAATTGAGGTAAATACCATAGATGAAGTAATTATATTACTTCATCTATGTAAATACTCTTAAATGTTTCGTATTAAATCCACACTTGAACTATGAGGCCTTTACTATTATTGAGGCATACAAATTTGTTAACATTGGGGTTCGATCTTGGTTGTTTCAAGATCTCAATGGAAAACCATGAAGTTGACATTGCGACAAATTCATACGTAGGCTATTGCGGTTGGTGTTAGAATCCGTATGTATATTCGGAGCCAATCTACTCCAACAGCCATTTTCCTTAAGGCACTTTGCCTATCAAAGGAAAACCTCATCAATGGAAGTTTTCGTCACACTGTCGATTTGGACCGAATACTAGAATGGTGCAAAAAGTAATTGGTTCTTCTGCCAGGGCTAAAGATGAATGAATAATTGAACTGTTCCACTTAGGTCCAGCTAAGGGTTGGAATTGCCCTTCGACACACTGGTGAACAACACCCGGCTTACAACACGGACCCACTATTTTTCTACCACTGGCTATCCAGGACTGTAGTAGGTTTTAACTCTTTCCAGGTGATCTCGGAGACCAAGGAGATTCCCCAGGATGAAGTGTCAGACAGCGCCGCGTCCAGCAGCGACTCCCTGTGTTCCCGAAGGACGCCGTCGGTGACGGTGGTTCGCCCCGAGGACAGTCCTTCGCTCAGCCCGCAGGACCAGGAGAGTCCCTCGCTGCCTCCCATCAGTCCACTCTTCAAGATGTTCGAGACAGACGTGTGTGGAACTCCTGCCAAGGGTCCGCGGTACAAGCTGATAACCGAGGGCGACCTTCAGGTGAATTGAGTGTTTGAATGTAATTTTGTGATAGTAGCAAAGATGAAGTAATCTATGATAGTAGCTTGATAATGTGGGTCGTGCATGAAAATCAGGTTCATAACTCAGGATGACTTTTAGGTGCGTTTTGATTTCAATGTAAATTTGCGATAGAAACATTATAATATGCCGATAGTGATGGTAAAATTGAGAGTAGGATTTGAGAGAGAGGACTCCGATTTGCCTCCTGGGATGAGATTACGTGAGACAATCGTCGGTATGATTCCCAAATCCCGAAGAGTTCACACGATGTTTGCTTCCGGTTCTCTACTTCTGTACTGAGTGTTGTAAGATTATGAAAGGAGCATGCTAATTTAGATTCACATATTCAAGTTTGGGGTGGAGTAAGGGAATGCCGAACTGTGCTGTGAATTTAATATCGAATTGAGCTGGAGTGGTTCCATAAGAAAATATAGAACTTTTTAGTTTCTATAAAGAGAATACCTGTAATTAGAAGAGCATTATGGTTAGGTTTACGTTACTAAGTCCAAACATCTTGATACATTGACACAACTGCAATCTGACGCAATATTTTGTAAGTTTTTGTTTTTGGTCATATCATTTTTATCAATGATAAAGGTACACGGTAAACTATAATATGTGCTCCTCGTAGGTCTGCTGCCTGAACCACACACGTACAGTCATCAGCAAGATTTTAAGTTCCAAGTTCCTCAGACGATGGGAGTCTCACCGCCTTTACCTCAATGACTCCTGTATCTCATCCAAAACGGTGAGTTCCTTGAGTTCTGCATGTTAGTTACCGTACTTTCAGTTCACAATATTTTCTCCTATTTAGTTATGAACTTTTCCTGGAGATGTACCTTTGATCTCTAAGAGGTTGTCACCTTGAGTTACTCTCGGAGATCCAGGCATTGCTTAGAAAAAGGAAAATAACTCGGGTACCTGGCCATGCACATTATTTTGGAACAGCGAGTAAACGATGTTAGCTTTTCGGATCAGCGCTTTTCAGTGTGTCACCTTGACCTTTTTTAGCAATACCTGACCGTGCACCTTCTCTCGTTGTAATCTTTTCGTAGCAGTGTCATTCGGAGAAAATACCGCGCTCCGTCTCCGTGTTAGCTACATTGAATGTTGCAAATTCAACCGTAGTTCAACACTTTAGGTATCGTCAGATCTCCACATTCATTATATTAAATTAATTTTGTTATTTTATCTTAAGTTCTCCATGTCGACTTGATGCAGCGTGATTATGAATATTAATAAAACTATTTATGCATGAAAAATATTTTTTAATAAGCATTTTAATGCTAGAAAATGATAATGTTTTAAAATAAATCTTCTAGACCCTTATTGTCACAGGTTGTTATAATAATTATCGACGGTCGCTTACGTTAAAATTTAGGGTCAACCTAATTACAAGTTGTACTCAACACTTTAATAAAACGTCTTGCATTTTTATAATTTTGAGCTTTGTTCTGTGGTCATTGACTATGGGTGTTTAACTTCAAACAGTATAGATTGAACAAAGACCACGGGATCTAGGGTTTTAGTTTCTGCTTAAAACCTTTTTCAGTCAATTTGAATTTAAATACCAATGCTGAGGCGTACCGGAGTGTGGCCTATTATTGAGAAGCCACTAATCTAATTCGAGCCTAAACGTGATGCTCAAGTAAACAGTGTTCATAAACAACATGTGTTTACTAGCCATGGAATTACCGCACCAATACCGCAATGGTATGTAGGCTGTCATGGTTCCTATGATGTGAGGTTTTTGTTCACGGAACTTACAATCAGCTGTGCATGTCGCGCGTATTTTTGACGTCATTGGGGCGGATATGGGAAATACAGTGTTTTGATTCGTCGTACTCGTCACTTTTGCTTTGGTTAAACCATTCAACTTGTACACAGAGAAGACTTTTCATTCTATTGTAATTTCTAAAGTCTGTTTTGATATGTGCTCCATGTCTAAGTAGAAACACATTTAAATTGTCTTCAGCTTTACTTTATGAATTTTATTTCGTATTCTTTGCGTTGATTGTAAACCAACTGCTCAAACCCCAGTCTGGTTGAAGGACCTAACGGCTAGAGGTTCTACATAATGTAGAAGGTTTTTGAGGGATGATTGCCATACAGGGTCCCTATTGAGTCAGTAAGCCCAACAAATATTTTGTAACACTTTTTTGCTGGAAGGTTGCTTTTTTTCACTGATGCGGTAATTAAAATAACAGCCATTTGTTTTGTTTTTAAATAATTTAATTCATAGAAGATATTTATATTGTGTTTACTTTAAATTTAGGGGGTGTTTATTACCTTTTTTATGTTTGTAGTCTAATCATAAGTAGACAGTGATTGTTATTGATAATTCAACAGCGACTAGCGAGCGAGTTACTCTAACTACTCGAGACATGAATGCACGGTTGTTGGTCGCAGTAACTACGTAACTACCGAACAAATTATCCAGTTCAAGTTCCAAATTCGTCTTCCTACCTCGGTTACTCGCCTTGGGGTGAATTTTCTTCGTTCTTAAGTGTTTTATCAGTTTGTAGAAAATATAATTAATTACTTGTAAAAATAGTTTCTTGTTTTGTAATAATTCGAGGATTGATTAAGTGTTTTATGATAACATTTTGATCTCTACTTGCAGTATAAAGTGTTGAAATTAACTCCTGAAATAGACTATTTTAGCGACAAAAAATAATCTGTTTAAAAATACAACTATGCATTTACGCCTATCATGAACTCAAAATATCGACCTGATTTTTAATTCAGCTTGTAGTTTCATTAGACACATGAATACAGCTTCTTTAATAAAACAAATTAATTCATTTCAAAAATTTCCAAATGTTTCCGCGTCATATTTAACTTAAATATACAAAAAAATATCTTCAACAAATCATTTTAATGTTGAGGGATAAAAATTAGATTTTGTACGACACCAGGCTGTGTTTTAAGGTATAGATGAATAAGTGTTCTCGTTACTGACTAAAATCTGGTTCTTCAGCCAGGACTATTTTATTAAAAGCCCAAAGATCAGGGATAGCTGGGTCCAGTTCCAAGCTATCAAAAAGCTACTGACTTTTATCAGAATGCAAACCGGCATACTTCTGATTAATAGGTTATGAGGCGTAGCTATCGATGCTTAGATTGCTGCAACATACAATATTCTATCATTTATCGTAAGTATCCTGTTGAGATCGGTTCAGTTTAAAAGCTAAACTTATGAAATAAATCTTCTGACAGCTAAGTTAAACCTCGTTCATTATATTTTTTGTGGGGCTGTTTTTAACGTCAGTGGAACTGTTGAAGCCTTGGTATTTAATCTAACGTTGACATTTTTGTTAGAAATCATAGCCCAATGATATCTGGGCCTGGAAACTATCTCGGTTGGATTTGAACCAGCGACCTTCAGATTTGAAGGCGAGCACTATAACCACTCGGCTACCCAGACAATTTTCAAAACTTTAAACTTGAATGGAATGTTCACTCATCATCACAGTCAATCCTAATACACAACTTACACAAGCTTGTATAAATTGGAGAAGGGAGACAAGTTACATTTTCTCTCTTGCAACCAACGAGCACCTTGGCGTGTTAGCTTCTCGTGTAAAGACCACATCAGGGTTTTATGGTGGGGATCTCCTTTCTTACACAATTAACTAGATTTACCCTTAAGTATCCCTTTGTTAACCTCAAACTGTTGAATACATCGGTTGCATTACTTGTTCGCGTGACTATGGTGGAACTTCTTTTTAGTTTTAATCTTCTTCATTCTGTGTTCACTGTGTACAGTATTATAGACATATTTTTAATGGACACTTTATAAGGGCTATCTACATGCTATTAGTGTATAAATACGTCACAAATCGTACGATATCTTCTTTCTACTATGCTCAAAAGTCTGGACATAGAAAACATCGGGTTTTTAGGCTCGCCCATCATAACACAGCTACGATTTTACGATTGGGGAAATCTACCTGAATTATCCGAATAAAAAAAAACAAAAAAAAACAATAGTTGAAGAGTATAATAAAATATATTAACATTTTTGTAGTTCTGCATTGTTTGCCCTTTAGGAATAGGTTGGGTTAAAACTAGACACAGTATAACTGAAATATTTTAAACAATTTGTTAAGGTACCAACAGAGCTTCTATATTCAAGAGAGTGACATAATATTTGTAAACCATCTCCCCACTCTTTATAAAACAAAACAAAAACTCATGGCCATGACAACGTTCTCAGTTTTGAAAACCTCTCTCCACTAAATCCATACGATACCTTACTCACAGACCTTTGCAAAAAGTAAATAACAATTATTTAATCACTCAGTTTTACTCATGTCTGATATAAAATCTATTCAGTAAAATAGCGTAACTCTACAAAACAAACGTTTTAGGCCCTCTTTTCCCCGTCTCTTCGCCCGTCTTTCATAGTTTCAGTTCCGAAATTCCCTGTCTAATGACGCACGTCCGCCGGATGCCTGGGATATTTCAGATAATTATCTACTAGGAAACGGAAACCGACCACAGAAGCATTCCTCGAGGAATGATGGAATGGAAGATGTTTATGCCGTAGAAGGAATCTGACAGCTTTTTATATGGAGGAATTCCAAAGACGTTATTAGTTAAGAGCTATCAATCAATTGGATGAGTTTAACCTTAGATCAAATACAATTCGCTTGTGTTAACTCCTAAACATGTGAAATCTGTATTGAATATGCGATTCGTAAAGGAGTCAACCCTTTTAGGTGTCATTTTTTAGAGATGTATCGTCTCCATACATATTATATCAATATATATATATATATATATTCCCTCCAGTATATATATGTAGTTTGGTTTCCATGATAATTGTTAACCTTTTACACACTACTATTTAACCCAACATACAAATATCTGTATTCAACCTTTCATTAATTTGCCGTTTTGTCATTGTAACCAAAAAGATGAGCACATATAAAACATTTACATTAATTGAGAAAGAAATACTTTATTGAAATACACTCTTTCTATGTTTACAAGACATAAATCAAATCAAATACGAGTGAAAACAATAGAACGAAAAGTCTATCTGTAGCATTAAGTCTAGAACATTAGTTACGAAATAGACCAATTATATAGAAAACATTTTCAAACTGTATCTAGAACGTGTTTTGCCACAAAATATTCCATGGATGTCAGACTTCTAATGGCTTATTTTTTACTTTCAATCATCTAGATGCGTCAAGCGAACATCTCCCCGAGGTCGTAGTCTGTTGTTTAGATAAACCCTTAACGATCTCATTCCTTAACGGCAACCGTTACAGGATAACAGGTAAAAACTTTCGCACTGAATTCGAAACTACTGAAAATAAGCTGTCGCTTTTAGTTATCCTTGTACAAGAACTTGTGCCTAGTTAAAGTATTAAAGTCAATTTTTTAGCTTGTAGACTGAGGAAGCTTTTAGTGGATTTCCCATATAGGGAATAAGCTATTACCGTAGTAACTTATGGTAATACCTGGAACCGGGAACGATTTAATTTTTCGTTTTGAGGTCCATAGAGGCCAAAAACACCATCAGTTTTTTTCATCCGTTTAAATTCATATATATGTGTCCGTTAGCACGATAACTCGAGCAAAAATGATCCGATTTTGACGAAATTTTGTATAAACGTGTAAACCTACATTTATTTTATCAAGTTTGCGAACCAGCACGATCTGACTATTGTAACGGGGGTTTATTGGGGGTTTTATGGGGTATTAATTGGTTTTTCCAATTATGTGACCCAAAAA